AGGAGGAGGAGGAGGAGGAGGAGGAGGAGGAGGAGGAGGAGGAGTAGAAGGATGTTTCCCCTGTCGGCTTTGACCACCTTCAAAACTCCCCCCAGATAGGGGGGTCTTGCAACGAGCCTGGTCGTAGCGAGACCCAAGCTCCGGCAAGAACAAGGCCAACGGACGCGTCAGAGGATCGAGCGGACCTCAGCCTCCATTAGAACTGTAACACCTTCGCGTTCGGGGTGGAGGCCTTTAGAGATCCTAGACCAGGCCCACGCGCCAAATGCCAGCTGGGATCTTACAGGTCTTTCGGAGGCCTCGACTCATCCCATTGGAGGTGCAGCTCTTACACACACTGCAGACAGCTCAGCACCGTCACTATATGGACACATAAAGCAGGTGTGGCCGAAAGCAGCCGGAGTTTCTGGGGTACAAGCTTGAAATCCGACGCATTTGCCAGTATGGGGGCTTGAAGTCATCCCGCAGACGATGGATCTGAAGGCAGCTTTGAAACAGAACCAAACATATCCAAACATGGCCCTCGGAGGGCTCCGAGGGGGCCACAGGTAAACGGTTGTACTGCGCATCTTGGATGGCACTAACAGGCGAGAATTCGGGCACCAGACTAGCAGCGAGCCCCCTGGAGGAGAAGGAGGAGGAGGAGGATGAGGAGGAGGTTGGTGGGGGATGAGATTGGAGGAAGACGAGGTTGGAGGGAGAGGAGGTTGGAGAGTCGAGGTTGGCAGAGAGGGGCGTCTCTGAGGCGCGCTCCAGCCGTCTTGGGGCGCTCATGGAATGTTGGGGGGTTTCCTGGAGGTTCTCGGGGTAGCTCGGGGATGGCTCAGAGAGCTCAGCTCACGTTCCTGGGAATTCTCAAGTGCGCACGCGAAATCGGGGGTTGGAGCCTTTGACCACACTCCTTTGAACAGTGACACCTGGCAGGTGAGCCTAGGGTTACTTCACTACGTGGTGAACGCACGGTCGCTAATCTATGGGTAATTTCGGGAACCCTGAACCCAGATCTATTGTACTTCCGCCGGCTTCCGCCAGCGGAGGCGGCCTCGTTTTATTGCCGCCGACCTTCCGCCGCTTTTCCGCCTTCCGTGGCGGAAGAGATGACAACTCCTTCGCTCCTCGAAGGCAAGGCCGTTTTTGGAACGCCCCATATGGATACCACCTGCTTTGGAGCATTGGTCGGGCAGCGAAAGAGGGGAGTTCTCTGGAATTTGGAAACGCTCTGTTTCCATGTGCTGTATGAGCATCGTCATGTTGCTGTCTCAGCGCGTTTATGTCACAGTGCCACAGGCCAGGATTAGCGAGATGCAAGAGCTTGCCTGCGCCAGCAGCTTGCGGTGCATATGCCGTCGTTGCTTGTGGTGGATCTGCTGCTGCGTCAGTGATTGCTGATACTGCTCATGTTGCCGCTGCTGGCGCCTGTGTCTTGTGGATGCTAATTGCCCATCTTTTCCTCGTTTCTGTCGGAGGGCACCAACTATACACCAACACCGATCCTGGCCAGGATCGGTGTTGGTGTATAGTTGGTGTCTTCCTATTCTGGTGTGATGCCACCTCATTGCTCTCCCAAGCCGTCATCCGGGGAAGAGGGAGAGTAGTATTCCTATTGAGTAATTGTCGAGGAGGAGCAGGAGGTCGAGGAGGTCGAGGACGAGGACGAAGACGAGGAGGAGGAGGAGGAGGAGGAGGAGGAGGAGGAGGAGGAGGAGGAGGAGGAGGAGAAGGGGGAGGGCCCACGTCATTGGTTGCCCATCATGTCCTTTCGCCCGCTTGCGTTGATTACCTCCTGGCGGCTGCGAACACCACGGGCCAGCGCCGCCCCAGGAGGTGCAGCCAGTCTTCGCGGGCAAGAAGCCGCCGAGTGCCAGGGGGAGAGACTTCGCCTCCGAGGCGAGCCTCGCTTGGGGTTGCACTCTATCGGCGTCTTCGCGGGTGCGTCTCGGGCCGGGCGAAAGGGGGGGATTGGGAAAGGGGGGGTACGAAATCTGCTGCATGCAGCTGGTTTCGGCCTCACCGAGGGGCCCATTCCTCGATACATAGCCGCCTCCGGCGCCGGGAGACGCTGGGAAAATCAGCTACGTGAGCTGATTCTCAAACCCCCTCTTTGCTATCCCCCCCTTTCGCCCGACCCGAGCGTCCTCTCTCTCTCTCTGTTTCTCTCCAGGGGTGCAGTCGTGCTCTCTGTCCGTTCACCACGATGCTGCCGGCCGCATGCGAGGTATGTGTTAGGTTGCTGCAGTTGGTGGGTCGGAAGGGCAACGGCAATGAATCTCGAGCTAGTGCAGCACCCGCCTCCGCTGGGTTTGAGTGTATGTGTGTGTAGTTCACCGTCCGGTGATGCGCCCCGAGTGATGGCGGCTGCTCGCACGCTCCCGAGGTACGCTGCGCCTCGGCATGGCGGCATGGCCCGTCGCTGCTTTCACAACCACTTGCGCTGTGCATTTTGTCCATCTGCCTGGTTAGCCTCATGCACGGACTCTTCGCTTCACCTTCCGTAAGCAAACCGCATCAGAGGATGTTGTTTATGACCAGCCGGTTGAGTGTCCCAGCGGCACGCTAACGCAAAGCTTGTGTGGACGACGATGCCGTGTTCTCGTCGGAGGGGGCACGAATGTCTGCGCGCGTGTCCCTGACGACCTGGTGTCTTCCCTAAGTCTCACTTACTGAACTGCCGCCAGCTGTATTGTCCGATGTATCGGTGCCGCTCGATTGTGTCGCATCGGCTGGTAACGCGCAAAATGTAAGTGTGTGTGTGTGTGTGTGCGTTTGGCACCAGGACTTTGACCGCCTGGCCCCGCTGCCACCCCCTCCCCACCCGCCGCCAGCGCCCCTGCGCCTCGGCCGCTGCTTCCCTTGCCCCGCCACGTCCCCGTCAGGGCCCGGCCTGCCTCCTCTGTGAAGCTGGCGCGCGCGCGCCCGGCGGGGCCGGCGAACGGCTGGCGGCCAGGCCCAGCCCGCGACGACCACGCAGGTGTGTGCGCGGGTGCCTCCCTCCCTCTCCTCCCTGTCTTCTCCTCCTCGGCTCCCTGGCTCCTCCTCCTTCGCCTCCGCGCCCTGCGTTGCCGTTGCGGTGCGGCGTCTTCCCTTCTTGCCCCCGACTTCCCTACCCCTGTCGGCGGCCCGCCCGTTCCCCCGTGTCCTGTCCGTCTGCCTCGTCGCCCTCCCTCGGGTGTCGGTCCTGGGCCCCGCCTTCCTTCGCCGACTTCGCTTGGCACCCCGTGCCCTTGTCTTGCTGGCCCCTGTTGTCCGAGTTCGCGTCCAGTCTGGTCTCGCTCCTGGTTTTCGGTGTTTGTCGCTGGCCACTGTGCTGCGCGCCCGGGCTGCCTACCTGTGCGTTGTCCGCAGTCCGTGGGGCTTCGTCTGTGACTGTTTTGCACTTGCCGGCTATTCAGAGCTGGTCCTTGGCCCTGCGCATAGCAGGTAATTTGCTGGCACCCCCGCCGTCCCTGTGACAAAAGCCAATACACAGTGCTCGTGGGGCCCACGAAAATGACCCAAGATTTTGCCCCAAAGTGTATTCTGTATTCTTCTGTTGGCAGGAATGGTGGGGTGTGTGTTGGCATGAGTGCCAGCATGGGTTCGGGTTGGCTGCCTGTCGTCTACCCCAAGCCGCAGGTCGGGCCGTTCACTCCCGCCCGCCTGCACACTACAGAAGTATGAGCCGAGCCTCAGCACAGGCATGGTGCGCCATCGGCAACAACCATCGGGAGCCGATGCGCGCTGCGTGGGTGTGCGCCCGCCATGCTTTTGCACTTGCTTTTGACCGTGATCGTAGGCCTGCACACAGCAGGCAGTATGCCGCCCTCCCCTCGCCGCCCCTTGGTGCAAAGTGCTTATGTTGTTGTAGTTTTTCTTGTCCCTTCTCTTTTTTTATTTTTTCCACGGGGCTGTTAGCGCTGTTAGCATTGCACACAGATGTGCTGCCCCCCCCTGCCTCCCTGCCAAATGCACATGCAAAGTGATCGCAGGTGTCCGCGCACGATCCAGATTTCGGTACGCATGATCCAGATTTTGGTGCAAAGTGCACTTTGCATGTTTGTTGCAAGGGATGGATGGGGATGGGGTGCATGGTCCCGGGTTCCTGTCGAGTGTGGGGGGTGTATTGTCGTAGGGAACAGTGGTGGCGGTGGGATTCAGCGTTCATTGTGGTGGCGCGGTGACTGTACGCGTACAGGCTGGAGATTAATTGCGACCCATCCACCGTCAGTGGTCTGCAAGCGACGAGTTTCTCGTCTCGGCCGATTCTTTAGCGGCCCCCCTCTCACGAGCGTGCCGCAATCCGTGCAGACGGACGACGACATGGCAGAGATCGTGCAGATGATCATGCCGAGCTCCACAAGGTCTGGCCGTTTGCCCCACGCTGCGAGGGGTGAGCTTCCGCAGAAAGCATCCATACAGCACCGCCATGCCTGAACAGGGCCATCCTGGAAACCGAGACGGGGTATACGGTCGGGAAGCTTTTGACAGCGTGTCGATCCGCTGGTTCTGGCCCACTACGCTGCGGCGCGACACGCTGTCCACTTCCATGTTTCCGAGCGTCAACGTCCCGAGCTTTTCCGAGCATCCCGCCCCGCGGAGCGGAGCGACACGCTATCCGCTTGCTTGGTGTTGCGTGTCGCCGGGGCTGCCGTCGCGACACGTTATCCACAAGTTCCTGACCGTAGACCTTCTTGGCCTCGGCCAGCAATGCGTGCACTCCCCTGTGGGATCCGACGTCGCGAGATACACATAGCGCAGCCAACAACCACGAGCAGAGGCCTGGACCCCGTCCGTCTGCAGAATGTTTGGAGCCAGATCAGAGGGCCCCGTGGGGCTCGAACTCGGGTGAAAACGCTCGGCTTGAGCAGAATTGCGGCGCTCGGAGCAGGCAGGAGGCAATCGGCCGCCGGTGCAGGAGGCCAAGGCTCCGCGGCGTGCCGCATCGAAGCTTCCGCCGGGCAGCAGACTGTGGTCGTGCGTCCAGCGCTTGCCGAACTCCTCTTTCTTCTGTTCTTCCTCTCGTCGTCGTCGTCGTCGTCGTCGTCGTCGTCGTCGTCGTCGTCGTCGTCGTCGTCGTCGTCGTCGTCCCCTTCCTGCTCCTCAATCTGCACCTCCGCATCCTCCTGTATCTCCGGCCCCCCTGCTCCCCCTTCTGCCTGCTTCTGCTGTTCCTCCTCGTCATCCTCCTTGCACTGATGCCCAAACATTGGCAGTTCGGTGCGGCAGCTTCGAAGTAGGGTTTAAAGTGTGAGAGGTCTCAGAGGAGGGGGCGCGCGCTGAAGCCATTTTTAGCTCGGCAGCGCGCCGAGCTTCCCTCTGTTCGACGGGAGGGGGACTGCTCCGGGATGCCACAGTCAGGTAGCTGCCGCCTGGCTTGCGGTCACAGCGATGGCCGCCGCGCTGCGCTGGGGCGCCGGCGCAGCCGCCGCCGCTGGGCTGCCCTCGCCGCTGGGCCCCCGCCCCGCGGCTTGCGCCGCCCCGGCGCCTGACACGCGGCCGCCGCCCGCCGCCGCCTCGCGGGCCGCCGCCGGACCATGGGCGCGCCGGTCGCCCGCAGCGCCCTCCCTGGACCCCGTGTCCCTTCTGGCGTGGGAGACCGAAGCCACGGAGAATGATTACACGTATGGTGATGTCGGTCTTCTAGCCGCTGCGGGCTTCGCGAGGCTCGACGACGCGGTCTCCGGCGGCTGCGCCAGAGAAGCTGCTGAACTCGTTCGGGGAGTCGAGCAGGTGCTGGGCCCCCGCAGGTAATTAACACCGCCGCAAGAGGCGGCATCACAGCCCCCCGTGGCGGCACCGTCGCTGGAGGCAACTGACGAGTACCACGTGGGCTACGAGAACTGCTACGAGGCGACCCCCGCGCCGAGGATCGAGGTCCGGCGCGATGGCAGCTTGGCCGACCTCACCATCAAGGACGGAGAGGACGACGCCGAGGAGGACGAGGAGGTGGAGAGCTTCGAGGAGAGGGGGGGGCCGCCTGGCGCGGGCCCCCTCGCCCCGGCGCCCGCCGCCGCCCAGTGGTGGCCCGCCAGGGGAGCCGCCGCCCCGCCGCCTGCGCCTACCGCCGCCTCGTGGGCTTGGTGGGCGCCCGCCTCGCTGTGGGCCTGCCTGGGCCGCGCTGCAGCCGCCGCCAACCCGACGGCGTGCCTCCTCGGGATCCCCCTTCCGCCAGGCCTGGGCCGTCGCCTTCGGGGAGTGTGCTCGGATCGTCTGGTCCGCGGCCCTGGCTGCCTGCCCTGGGATGCTTGTGTCTCACGATCGGGGGGAGGGGTGTCGGGATCGTTTCGATCGCGATCGACGCGCTTATCTTCAGCCCTTTCCGGGCCTGCGCTGGATGGTGCTGCCGCGGCCCCCGCGCAGCCCTGCCGGCCCCGCCGCCGCCGCCGCCTGAGCTGGTCGGCCCCGGGGCCCCCCAGCCTGTGGACAACGTGAAGTACCGCGAGATGCGGGCCCGCGGCGCCGACCGCCCCCCGCGGCACCTGGTCTTCGCTGTGGAGGGCCAGGCGGCCAGGGTCAGCAGAGCATCGCGGGCAGGACCGCCGGCGCGGGCGTCGGGCCTCACCTACGAGTACGAGACGGTCTGGGGGTCTATTTCGGGGCGTTCGCGTCGTCACCTGGAAGACGCCCCGACGATGAAGTTGTACCTGTGCCGTGAGTCGCCCTGCCGTGGCCTAGGCGACTGCGCTTTGCACCTGGGCGCGTACGACCACCTGGACGCAGGCGACCAGGTCGAACTGGGCCGACTCGCTGACCTAGGGATGGGCTGGGGCCAGCAGCTCGGCTTGATGGCGCGTGGCGCCTGTCGCTTCCTGTGAGCCGCTGGGCGGCTGCTGGTGGTCTGCGGCTGCAAGCGCCTGGCCCGCGGCAGCGGCTGCGCTGGGCGACGGGGTGCACGCTGCCGCCGCTGGTTTTGCCGCTCCCGCCGACGCGGGCCGCCGCCGCCGCCTGAGATCGCCGCGCACGGTGACGTTTCGGAGACGGAGTCGGAGCTCGCGCCGGGCTCTGCGCAAATGAGGTGAAGGGAGCAGGCGCTCCGCTGCCACGCCGGCCGGCGCCCGAGGCCACGGGGGCCCGGGCGCTGGCGCCGAGGACGGCGCGCGCCGCCGCCGCGCGGGATTTGGCGGAAAGAGGTGTGCGTCTCTCTCGTTTCTCTTCCGTGGGGCCCCGCGGGTCCGCTTTCCCCCGCGGGTCGTCGAGTGGCCCGCCAGGGCTGATTCGAAATGTTTTGTGTTTTCTGTGCGCTGTGCAGTTTGAGTTGACATGCCTGATGTGCTCCACATGCACAGCAGAATGGTTTGGCGACGGGCGAATGCTGTGGCTCACCGCCCCCCGACACGCTTTACGCAGAGAGTGCTTAGCTGGAGCCCAAATTTCAACACTCGATAGCGAGGACGCCGGCAACATGGAAGGCAACCCACAAGATGGGACGGCTACGTCTGGAAGTTTGTGCACAGCTTGGGCGGGTACTAATGCGACGCCGGCGGCGGGCAGGACCATATTCGGGCAGCGGCCGGACCACCACAGCACGAGCGCAGCAGCACCAACGGCTGGGGAGGGTTATCTTCCGCAGGGGGCATTGAATGGTGTTTACCACGTGAGTCCGCCTACGTACCACACGTTTGAAGCCACGGGTCCGACGCCATGTCCTGATGGGCACGGGCGGGTTCCCCAAAGGACTGCGCACGACTCCGTCGTTCCTCTCGGTTCGCTTGCTTTGTCAACGGTACGGATATTTGCCAGTGCTTCCCCTCTTCCTTTCCTTTCCTCTTTCCCCTTTCCTCTTCCTTTCCTTTCCTTTCCTTCCCTTTCCATTCCTTTCCTTTCCTTTCCTTTCCTTTCCTCTTCTCCCCTCTTCCTTCCCTTTCCTCTTCCCGCTCCTCTACTCTCCTCTCCCTCGGCCGCCTCCCGCCTCCTTCCCGCATTCGTTCAGCATGAATCGTATTTTGTCCCCTCTGTTGACCAACGATGGGAGAGCCGCCCAACCCCCCCACCGCGTATTTTTTCACACACAAGGTTTCAAACAATTGTGTTCCTGATGTTCTTTTCGATCGGAATGTTTCCGGTGTCTCGAAACGAGGCTGCCGCTGCAGCGTGGGTTTCGTTCTAGGATCGGCGTTTTGCCCCCGCCTTTCAGAATGGCGCTCTGGCCCGAGCGTGGACCACTTTTCTGGATCCGAGTGTTCCCTCATCCTGGTCGCCCCTCTCCTTTCCCCTCCCCCACCTTCGCCTGGTCATCCTACTCCTCCCGCTAGTCCCACTCCAGTTCCTTCTGCTGATGTTCCTCCTCTGCCTCCTCCTCCTCCTCCTCCTCCTCCTCCTCCTCCTCCTCCTCCTCCTCCTCTTCCTCCTCCTCCTCCTCCTCCCTCCTCCGCCTTTCCCTCCTGCTCCTCCTCCTCCTCATCCGCCACCTCTTCGTCCAACGTGCGCAGTTCCCCTTTTCTGACTGCGCATGGCGCGATGTGGTTTCTTTCTTGAGTTCCAGGTCCGCTGTGACACGCAACGGCGGATAGAGAGACAAATGGCGCAATGGGAAGGGATGGGTGGAAGAGGTCGGATATCAGATGGCGCGAACGCGTCTAGCTTGCTGGCTATCCCCTGTACAATTACTCAATATGAATATACTCTCCCTCTTCCCCTGATGGCGTCCGGGTGATAGCCGCGCACCCTCCGCGTATTGTTTTTTTACACAGGATGCCCGGGAAATCCCGGGAAACGACTCTCGCTGAGGCGCCGGCGTCATTTTTTCCCAAAATGCTGCTCTCGCGCCGGCGTCATTTTTTCCCAAAATGCTGCTCTCGTTGAGGCGCCGGCCTCATTTCTGCTCCCGAATCCTTCCCCTGATGGCGTCCGGGTGATAGCCGCGCACCCTCCGCGTACTGTTTTTTACACAGGATGCCCGGGAAATCCCGGGAAACGACTCTCGCTGAGGCGCCGGCGTCATTTTTTCCCAAAATGCTGCTCTCGTTGAGGCGCCGGCCTCATTTCTGCTCCCGAATCGTTCCGAATCGTGCTCCCGCTGCAGCGTGGGCCTCATTTTCGGATCGGTGTTTGGCCTCCGTCGTTCAGGATGGCGTTCTCGCCCCAGCGCGGGCCTTTTCTCGCGCGCCCATCCGCCCGCCACCACCGCGCCGCACCGCCACCACCACCACCACCACCACCACCACCACCACCACCACCACCACCACCACCACCACCACCACCACCACCACAACCACCACCAGCACCAGCATCAGTACCAACACCACCACCAGCACCACCACCACCACCACCAGCACCACCACCACCACCATCACCACCACCAGCACCACCACCACTACCACCACCACCACCACCACCACCACCACCACCACCACCACCACCACCACCACCACCACCACCACCACCACCACCACCACCACGACAACCACGCACACACGCACGCACGCACGCACGTGCACCACCACCCACTACGCACGCGCGCGCGGAGCCACAGGTCCGCCACGACACGCGTCCGCGGATAGAGATAATCAGCGCCATGGTAAGGGATGGGAGGGAGGGGTAGGACGTCAGATATGACGCGAGCGCACCTAGCTTGCCCCTTCCCCCTCCCCCCCTCTCCCCCGTTCCGAACCGCCCCCTCCGTGCGAACCGAGGTCGCTGACCGTGGTGGTCTGCGCGGTGCTCATCCCCTCCCTGCTACTCGGCCTGTGGCTCCCTGGCTTGTCAACTACTCCCACCGAAGTTGGTCCTCGTGGTTGGGAGGAGGCGGAGGTCAGGGAGAACATCAGCAGGGAAGGATAGACGTAGCAGGAGGGGACGGAGGCGTTGGAGCTGGAGCATGAAACGAGGGGGAGAACGAATCGAATGTGGGGAGGAAGGATAGAGGTAGGAGGATAAGCCTTGCGCCATACCTGACATCCTACCCCTCCCACCTACCTCGTCCTATTGTGCAGATTTTGTTCTATCCGCAGGCGGGTGCCATGGCGGACCTGGAACTCAGGACCCCATCGTGATATGCGGCAATGCTTGCATTGGAGGAGGAAGAGGAGGGAGGCGGATGAGCCGGAGGACGAGCAGGATGATGATGCTGCTGATGATGATGATGATGATGGTGATGATGATGATGATGATGATGATGATGCTGATAGTGGTGGTGATGACGATTCTGATGCAGCTGATGATGCTGATGATGCTACTGGTGATGCTGATGCTGATGATTATGATGATGATGATGTTGCTGCTGACGATGATGCTGATTATGCTGATCATGCTGGTAATGCTGCTGATGCTGATGCTGGTGCTGGTGATGGTGATGCGGATGAGGATGATAATGATGCATACGCTGATGCTTATGATGATGCTGATGATGTTGATGATGCTGATCAGGCTGATGATGCAGATGATAGCACTCATTTTGATGATGCTGATGATGGTGATGCTGATGCTGCTGATGTTGCTGATCATGATGATGCTACTGTTGATGATGATGATGATGATGATGATGATGATGATGATGATGATGATGATGATGATGATGATGATGATGCGATGATGCTGCTGCTGATGATGATGGCGATGCCGACGATGATGATTATGCTGCTGATGATGATGATGCTCATGATGATGGTTTGATAATGTCTACGATGATGGTGATGATGCTGCGGATGATGCCGATGCTGATGAGGTTTATGCTGATTATGATGATGTTGGCGACGATGGTGATGATGATGCTGCTGAGAACGATGGTGATGATGATGCTGATGTTGAAGGCGCTGATGCTGGTGATGATGATGCTGATGACGATGCTGATGATGATGACGATGATGATGATGATGATGA